ATTAAATGAATCTTTTCACAGTATACTCAATAGCTGTAAAGATTTTTACTAATGGCACACGAAAGACAGATTAAATATTACAGATTATAAAAATTAAATATGTATAGTTAACTTTCCATGTTTGCTTCTCAAATATTTACATTCTGGAATCTTATCTGCTGTACACAGCCTTTTTGATTAGAGGATAATAACCACCCATTAAAAATAAGTTAAAACTGTTACTTTTTTACATACATTTGTCAATGATATTGTCAAAACAAATGCCCTTATGATTTAAATTTTTAATGAGTTATCTTGATGTAACAGATAATATCGATGCATAACTCGACATAATTTTTTGGTTTTTTTTGTTTTAGTACACATAGTTTTTTTCTGTAAAGCATCAATTCCTATTTTTACCTTCTGCAAATGAGTTGTAAAAAACACCTCTGAGATATACTCAGTATGCGCACATACATACATATAAGTTACAGACTACAGAAACTTGTGACGTTTCCACATGTTTAGCATCGTACCTTAGCCATCCGAAGTTTCACCCTACTAATTGTGATAAATGTCCTTAAAATATTATTTAATAATTAATAAAAATCGTTGCAGTCTTAAAAACATCAAGGTCACTTCCATTTTGGAAGTCATACGGTTTTAAAAATATTTATTTTGAATGACATACTTTTGGCTGTCATTTCTTCAGCAAAAATCGGTTTTTTTTTTTTTTTATTTTAAATTAAGTTACATTGCTGATCGTATAGCAGTGTAAAGACAGTAAAAGTACTGAAATGTATTAATATCTCACATGTATACTTTATCTGACAAAAAATTATTTAAAAAATAAATATTTAATTTGTTTTTAATTAGTAAAATTTTTTAATATTCCACAGTAACAGTATTTAACAATACACATAGTTGAGCGAAAAAAAGATTTTAAAAAAAAGTAAATCATCCGTACGTACGTCAATCCATGCATGATTAAAATCAAACATTAATTAGATCGAGCTGTTAAGCTCAATTGAAGATTTATCTTCGGTCATTGTAATATTATCACTCATAAATGATACACTTATGAAATGAATCTATAATTTGATTTTCGTATCAATAGTGCTTTTGAAAAATGATCCTAGCCTTTTTAAAAAAATTTAATTGTTTTGGATTTAAGGTACACCCACTAAAAATCTACTAGCACACATTTTGAAAATGTTGAAAATAAAATCATTGTTAAAATTTATAAGTTTTACTAAAAAAGCTCTAGAAAAAGTATAAAAAAACTAATCTGTACAAAATGATTAAATTACAAGGATACTAACATTTAGATGAAAATCTTCAACCAGGAGGATTGAGTTATTTTATTATAATTTTAGGAATGATTATATTTTATTTTATTTACTTAAATAATAGTCAGACTGCTGTAAATGTTATTCACATGGTGATACCAAATCAAACCATTATATAATTATATGTAAATACATAAAGTACAGAAGTGATTTTCAGTAGACAAAAGTAAAAAGTATTTTTTACGCTTTAAAAACGGTTTCAAAACGTTATTCCAATCTTATTTTGTATATTCGTAAATTTTAAAAACAACGTTTCATTAATATTTTTTGCAACATTATGCAGTTCAAGGTTAAGTAATATAAACTGCTTATCTGCACAAGAATCTTTATAAATGTATCTTGAATATTGATAAAATTGGATACTCCTAATAAGATTATTTACGATTGTATAAAAAATGTACATATTAAAATAATTTCCTGTAATTCAAAATTAAATATTACAAGAATCGATAAGTTATCTCATGTACAATAAACTTCTTCAGACTACAGTACAAGTATTGTATTTCAGACAGTAATGAAAATAATTGGTTAACTTTTAATGATCATTAACTCTGTAATTTTTATGATAAAAAGTTCCTTTTTTCCTCACTTTAATTCACTCTTATGGGATAAGCATTTTGCCATTTTCTCGTGGGCTTTTTTTTGTGTGAATTCTATTTGTTTTCATAGCTATGCGATATTAGCACGTACTTTACAATCTATTGCGTGCAAAGTAATCGAATGAATGATGTTGATGTAAGCACATCCATCTCAATTGTTTGCAATAGCGACCCTACATTTTTTGCTATTTATTAACTAAATGTTAATGAAGCAAATGCTAAATTAAATATTTCGTTTGCATATGCTTTTAGTAAGAAGTAGTTTTTTTTCTCAAGCTAACATTGTATTTAATTTTTAGTGAATTTATTACGGTATTTTAAAAGCTTAAATTCAATTGCAGAATTTTTAAATCTTAGTTTATGCATAAGCCAATTAAAGAATCTTCGCGTAATTGACACGAATAATGTTTAGAGGAGTTTTAGTGACATTTATTTTTTTTCTAACTTGTATGATTATAAAGGGCTTTTATAACGCTGTTTCATTTTACATTAGAATTATTTTAATCATTTAACAATACTAATTATATTAGAGCAAAACATAGTGGATATACTAACTATTTAGAATTTTTTTAAAAGTAATAAAAGTATAAAAATACCCTTGACACGAGTTTTTATGAGGTAGAAGAGACTTACAATATTTATATAATGAGTATAATTAAAACTTGTAAAATTAGTGTTGTACTAGTACAAAACTAGTATTTTTAGTTACCATGGTAACGTAGGGGTTAAAAAAATATTATTTTTTATACTTGTATAACAGATCAGTGATGGAGACAAATAAAACTTTTTACCTCGATTATAAGTTATTTCTAAGATAATCAGATACATTTTTCTAATCTACTTGTTCTTCAACAAAATAGTACAGTAATTCAAAAGTTATTTATACGATTTTTAGACAGTATCATACGTAAACTAAAAGAGAAATTTTTTAAAATTGTTAGTGTACCAATGTAGGAAGTCTGCAATCGTAAGTATAACAGTTGAAGGAAAGAAAAATTTACCGGCTACAATATTGTTTAAACTTGATCAAAAATGTGTAAAACAGTTACAAAAATACGTGAAAAATAAAAAACAGATATCCGCAATAACTGTAAAACACAGCTTTAGAAGTATCAGATGGATCTTTTTGTGATTACCGTCATTCGTTCATTTGTGTAATCTTGTTACTTATGCGATAAGATCAATCGAGAGAATCGTGATTAAACATTTGCTCACGTAAGAAGTTCAGTCGAACAAAACTCCCTTATCGTATTTTTTTCGTACTACTTTCTTAAATAGTATGAATGAAAAAATTGTAAGGTTAGTTGACTTTTTAAATCGCTCGCGTAAGACCGCTTCGAGCTTTATATATAGGGTATCACGTAGAGCCAAAAGGAAATTGAAAAAATGTTGAAGGTAATTGTGAGTTTTGGATTGTTGATCATCGTTTCTCCTGGATACAATGCAAAATCGTAAGTTTATGTCTAATTATTTTAATTTTATAAAAAATGAAAATAGTTTTGATTATTAAATGAATCTTTTCACAGTATACTCAATAGCTCCTTGTTTGACATTTTGGTAAAAAAACATTCTACCAAAAGCGTGTATATAATACGAAAAATAAAGATGCCAGACTAAAATATTATCCATGTTGTCAATAAACTTTCTTAAAATATGTATATACAAAAATGCTACTTTTTGATAAAGTTAAACATTAATTTCTATTTGATTAATTCTTGTTACTTGTAGATAATCGTTTATTTTCTCGATACATCTATTTCACTTGTTTACAAAATTACAGATTCCAAAGATTCCCTGCGGAGCACGACGACATAAATTTGTTAGATTTCATGAACTTTTACCAATATCGAAACTATGATCTGCTGGTTATCAAACAAATGTGGCCACAAACCGCGTGTTGGAACATCAACCACATATGGACAAACAAATCGAACGAGTGTAGTCCTTGCAGCCTACCCCTGGCTAAGCACCAGTGGACCCTCCACGGGCTGTGGCCCTCGAACTCCAAAGGTAGCCACCCGTTCTACTGCAACAACAATGTTAAGTTCAACCGGAATCTCTTGGGCAAGGAGCTGATCGACCAGATGGAAGAGAAGTGGATGACGTTGGACTTGGACACGGACAACGAGGTGTTCTGGAGACACGAGTGGAATAAGCACGGGACGTGCGCCATGAACCTCCCCAGCACCGACTCTATGTCAAAGTATTTCATCAAGGCCATCCAGCTGCTGAATCAGTACAACGCTGGGAGGATCCTTGCGGAAGCGGGAATTTTGCCAGGGGGGACTTATGCTTACAGAGACGTGGTATCTGCCGTCGAAGAATCCTTGGGGGTCAAAGTGAACGTGGGCTGTGCTAAGCATTCGGTGAGCAACTGTTGAAATATTTTTCCAATCAATGCAGCGTTTTGAGAGGTATTTTGTCTCAAGGAGTACTTTTGTCATTGCAGATGTCCAAAAAATCATACTTACATGAGATGGGAGTGTGTTTCAATACGTGGTTCGAGTTGGTTGACTGTCCTTACGGGAAAAACTACTGCAAAGAGGAAGTCTTGTATCCTAAGACTCGCGATGAGTGTCAGAGATTTTATCCATAATCAACTGTCTGAACATGTCGTCAACTGTATTTAATCGTCTTATGTTTGGTCAAAATTGAAATTTTAATTGTTTGTTATCTGTTAATGTGCGTCATTGTTGAACTGTTTATTAATACTCTTGCTTCTACGTAGATAGTTACGATCGATTGGAAAAATGCTGTGTCATCGGAAATCTAGTCATCGCTGGGTCTCAACAATTTCGATGATCAGAAAATTATTTTTAACATTTAATAGTATCTTTTAGAAAAGCCCGTCTTAAATAAAACTTGTTGCTATAAATGAATATTTTAACGCTTCTAACACTCAATCTTTGATTCATGTGATATAATTTATTGAAAGACAACCAAAAGATGTGTCTAGATAAGGTTACATATGTATACGTCGAATTAAAAAAGATCAAGATCATAAATGCAGGCATAGTACAGAGAATGAAAAAAATTGTTGAAAAATAAAGCAAACTTGTTCAGGTGTCCACTACTGAATAATGTTTACCGTAATACTACGTAGTACATGGAGCGAGTAGAGAATAATTCACGAATCCAGATTCGGTATAGGAAATTCCCAAGTTGGAATCAAATGGAGTTCTTTAAACTACAGTTTAATTATCAGTGCATCGCATAAGACATAGGAAGAATTTGTAAGTTTGAGTGTGTGAATGGTTTTATAGAGATAAAAAAAGATAGATTCGTTCAATGAGTCTTTTGTAAAATTAAATTTCATTACAACTGTGGTGACATTGACATCTTTGAAGTAGTTATCTTCTCAATCAGTGTCTTAGGCAAAAATCCAAACAAAGGCTGGAATTCACACTTAAAATTAAAAATAATTGAGTTTCAACTTACATTGGTAGAAAATAACGGTACGTATTGAAGATGATTTAAAAAAAATAAGTGTAATAGATGTACATAATATGTACAAAAAATCAATCATCCGTAAGAAAGTAAACGTGGTGAGACACGCTTGAATATTAGGTTCACAGGTTGCTCGGATGTTTTCAAAAAGCATTGTCTTTCGAAAAACTTGTTGAGACATCACTTGATTTCCTCGTAAGACTATAAAATTCCCTAATCATGTATTGGCGCAAGTGGAAATTTCGCATCATAAACGATGAATATAAAGTGGATGAGTATAGGCGAGCTCTGTCAAAAGCTTGTACGTTACATCCGAGGTTACATCGTAGTCATTGAAAATAAGTAAAATCAAAAATATAGGGAACCAAACAGTTGAGCAAATATCTAATAACTCGTTACGTGTTTTATTACTTTTGCCCAACGCCGATTTAAAGATAAAAAACCAAAAAAAGGGACAAAAGAGTATTGGCAATGACAAAAAAAAAGAATCCTTTTGTCTTGCGATAAGATGCCTCGCAAGCCAAGTTTCTCATCCACTTTTACTTTTTTCCCAAGCCCTCCTCCATGATGAATCGTCTCTCGTCTCTTGACCCCCCTCCCCCCCCACCAAGCACTTTATATTATAGCTCGAAGTCTTGATTCGTTTCGTTTCATTTCTTTCACACATTCGCTTCTTAATTTCCTACGTTTTTCAGCGAGTTCTTTTTTTTTCGTTTGATCTCTCATCCGTCTTTTACGGCTGAAGTGGCCATTAAAGTTTTTCGAGGCTTTTCTGCAGATTTTGTTCGAACGAGTACTTTTCTCGCACGCGCTGCACAGTTTTAATTGCAATTGCGAGCTTATGATAAAGTTTTCTTTAAAGCACTGTCTTTTTAATGAAAATGAAAGGACAATTTTCAAATAAGAATTGCTCCAAGCATGCATATGAAATTACTTAAGATACTGTTTTTTTTAATACGTACTTTATTATTTTTTGGGTTACATGGTACATCTTATATTATACAGTTATTATAAATTGTTATAAAATTACATCTTATTCTAAAACAATGACCTAACTTTCATGTCAAAAAAAAGTTTGCGAGGCAATTACTTTCCAAGGACCTTTTACGTTTCCACAGGATCAAAAAAAAATATTTCAGGTCTCATGTAATTTATGAGAAAGTTCCATTATTTTACGAAATCAAACAGAGTAATCAGGCAAACTTGGTATGTTTCAGTAGTGAAATTATTTTTAGCATGTAAGCGTACACATAAAAGTATTCCGATTCTGAATAGCAAATAATACTATAATAGTAATATAGAAATGAGTATAATATTTTTGAATTTACTATCTGAAACAATAAAAGTGATTGTTCTAGTTTAGTTACTCGCTTCTTACAATACATCCATTAGTATCGTATGAAATAATTAAAATTGCAAATTCAATTGCTTTCATAGAACAGTCGATAAAAAATATCAGATTTTGGCAGTCAATTTGTTATGATGCCAGCTATTATTATTATTAATACAATATAAACGGTTTAACTTATACTTAGTAAGAAGATTAACTTATAAAGAATATATGTCTTAAGAACAAATGTAGTTTTTCATATTAAGCTTAGCAGTTTGTTTCACGTATTTTTGAATAAATACGTGAAACGTCAACAAGTCAATACTCCATCCACATAAGTAAACTAATTAATGTCACTTTTTTTTAGAAAATATCATTTCAGCTACCAATGTACCGATATTTTCTTTAATTTAACACACTTTTCACTCAATTTGTACGATAACTTTCTATACAAAAGCAGGAGGTATTTGTGAGCTTCTGAAAAAAAATGACTGTTCAGCTTTTTTTCTTCAAAGTTTATCGAATCCGCGTTCAGCAAAACAAAAGACTATACCTAACGTATCAACTAAATTCCATAAAAAAATGTGTACACCTCCACTAACAAAATATCACACGACTACAATCCAGGTAATTGTATTGTACTCCGATCACTCGTCGTACGGAGTTCACACGCGGACCCCTCACTTCTTGGATCTCTTGAACTCGGCCCACGCGTCGTCGAAGCGCGCCTGCAAAACATCCCCATAAATGGGAAATGTTTGCCTCACGTTCGCCATATCAAAGTTCCGCTTGATGTTCAAGTTCTCCACGTAAGGCACGAGCCTCTCGTCGTCCTCGACGAGGAACCTCAGCATCGCGACGGGCCCCTCCACCACCGTCTTCCTAATCAACTCGAGCTCGTCCCTGCACGCGTCGTAGTAATCACTACAGCACTGGTTATCCCGAAAAACGGCCAAATGCTTCTTCGGCATCCTCTCACCCTCGTGGACCTCCACCAGGGCCAGGTGCTTCACGAGGACGTGGTGCTTCGTCTGCCGGACGCTCTTGTCCCACTTTTGGCTCGACGTCAGGGTGGCCTCGTTCACCGACATCCCCTTGGATCGGAGGAGCCACAGAATCCGGGACACGTCCGTCCCACGGCAACCGTCGCAAAAACTGTCGCTCGACAACAGGATGTCCAAGGCCGTGCGCCCGAAAAAGTCCACGAGGTCAACCCTAGCGCGGTTGTCCACCAACTGCTTGGCGGTGCGGTAGTTGGCGAAGATGCACGCCACGTGGAGCGGCACTATCCCATTGGCGTTGTACTGGTCGATTCCAGCCCCGCACTTGAGCAGCCGGTTGATGATAGCGCCGTCGTCGTTGGTGAGGGCCGCGGCGAAGTGGAGGGCCGCGCAGCCGTGCTCGGCCATGGTTTGGCTGTCCGTGAAGTACAGCAGGCAGATTTTCACCTGAAACTCGTCCTGGAGGAGGATGGCCTGGTGCAGCATGTCGTCGGCCGGCCTGAACACGTCCAGACTCGTGGGATGGGAGGAAGGGGTGCCGGGGTGGGCGATGGCGTTGAACCTGCCCCCGTGGTTTAGCTGCCTGTTGACGTTGAGCTTGACGTCGCACAGGTGCCGCTTGGCCTTTATCAGCTGTTCGCTCAGGAAATACAGGTGCGCGGCATCGAGGCTCTTGAAGGCAGGGGCTAATACTCGGGGCATGTCGAGGTGGAGCATCGAGTAGTAGATGGCCGTGTTCCCGTCGTCGTTGGGGATGGTTGGGATCGCGCCGGCGTTCATCAGCATCTTCGCGACCCTCACGTGGCCGTAGTAGCTAGCCAGAAGGAGCGGCGTGTTTCCCAAGTAGTCCTGGGTGTCGAGGGGGCAGCCGATTTTTATGAGGAACCGCGTCATACGGACGTTCCCGTTTGCACTGGCCAGGTGCAGGAGGCTTCGCTTGTGGTAGTCCACGACATGGGAAAGACACTGGGCAGACAGTCCCTCCTTGCTGATCGCGTCGTCGATGTAATGGGAGTCCTTCCTCTTTATGGCTGCACAGAAGGATTGCGAAAAAACTTTCACCCTGGCTCTTTCGCAAAACTGAAATGAAAACGGGCGCTTTTAGACGGAGTACTTTTGAGGGCATTTGATTACACCTCTAGAATTTGTGAAGGAAAATTTTTGACTAGCAACGAACCTACTTGTATGTATGGGTGTATTAAAACATAGTCTAGATTAAAAACAACACTCTTACAACAAACTCTCGTGAAGCACTATTTTTTTATATGTTATATGAAGTTATCTCTATTTCTACAACTATAGGCAACTTACGATTTTTAATCGTGTTTTAAACAATCCAGGCATAAGTGACTTACTTCCCTATGATTGAAATTATGATTACTTCCCTACTTTAATGAGTTGAAAATCTCTATTTAGTTAAAAAAAATGCTGTTAAAAATTAAAGTTTATTCAACAATAGCTAATTATATGTTATTGAAAAATATTTTTGAGCATTAATTAACAGCACCCGTATCTACCCCAGTATTCAAGTCAGTGTTCAAGTCACGATTTTTTAATTTTGAAATCAACGAAGTATAACTGTCATTGTAGTATGAAATATAAGGACGAAAATATCTACGGTATTTCATCATATCGACGTCCTGGATGAAAAATATCATGGGCCCACGTTTTAACGAAAAATATTACATTTCGATTGACATACTGGATTGACTCAGGTTAATCGGATGAATAATTTAAAAAAACAAAAATTCTTGAAATCAAAATACAGTATAAGAGTAATGACTATAATAATTTTACAAGCAAGGATTCAAAAATTAATGTCTTTTAGTATCGAAAAATTTTGAAATGGATTTAATCGGTTAAAAAGCTTAAAGCTACTTCAAACTATTGAAATGTTTATATTATTTTATGGCCCTGAAGCACTTAAGCAATTTAAAGTTTCTTATTTAAAAAAAAAAAAATTTTGTTACAAAATTTATTAACGAAATCTTTTGCGTCAGAGAATTTCAGAAATGTTACCGTCACAGTTTTTTAAAGCAAGTTAGTATTCGTTGAAAAATCTTGTAGACACAATTTTTTCATCCACGGCACTGGTACACTTCTAAACATATGTAAAAATCCAACTTACCATGTTGTAAGTAGTTTTCGCTCGTAGGCTAAAGATTATGGTTGAAGAGAAGAGGTCCTTTTAGAACAAAGTTTCAAAGTTTATAAAACTTGAAACGTTATTTACTATCCACTCGAAGAGTATACACTGCAGGAGATTCTCCAGACAACTGACTCGAGTTGGAGTTTATTTGAGAATGAGCCCCTTTTATATTGAGGGTTACTTTAAAAGACACTCATTAACGCTAGTGATTCATGTGAAGAAGCCGACGGTGCGCTTAATACTTTCTAGGAGTCATTGTACAGGATTTCAAAATAACATACCGATTAACATAAAAGCTATGCGTTATCATCGTTTTCGAAGTCATTACAACGTACTTCTACGAGTTCAAAGAAATATTAAACATTTCTTGTGTAATTGTAAATAACTATTAAGATAATTCCTTGACGGAAAATTATCACATAATCTGGCTAGAAACTCGCTAACGTGCATGAGTCAATCGGCTTATCACATGTTGACGAGGTTTTACAGAACTTATACGTAGTAATTTTTCTACCAAAATACTTTCAACGTTCTTTCATTTGTTTAGTATAAGAAAAAAATTACCATTTGCGCTAGTAATTTACAAAGCGAAAAGTTGTTTTAAACGATAAAAACGTGCCAAACTTACACTTTTGTTAATTCACTTTTTTTTTATACGCTTTAAAGCAAACGTGGTTCAAGTTTCTATGGCTATAATAATTGTGCCCAGGCAAGCTTAGCAAGTGTCCCGCTACCTTCTCATCTTCTTTGGCTTACTACCTTTTTAATTAATTTACTCGTGAAACTTTAAAAGACGCTATCACTAAAAATTTTTTTGGTATTCCGTACCACAAAATATTGATGATTTTATTTTAATATTACCCATGATATTATGTTTCTCAATGTACATTTGCTGTCTGATAAAAATAAGAACTGTTATTTAAACATATTACCATGTAGCTTTAATTTTTTACATTTATTTATGTTTCAGCCTCTTTTCGGACTTGAGAAGCTTAGCAGGAACCACTTTAATGAATCTGCTGGCGGCTCTCTTTATGGTTCAGCTTTTATTTATAGTCGGCGTGGGTGGTGTTCAGGTAAGAAATTTTCACACAAATTACGTAATAAATCCGTTTTTTTTTTTTTATGTTCGGATAAATTTTTCTTGGGCTTCATAAACTTTTAAAAAGGCAATGGAATCACGCAGTTTTGTAGCTGTGGTTAAAAAAAATAACACTTTTCATTCTGACTCATTGATTATTTTACGTGAGCTTTTACAGGTTAAATTATCCGCCAAGTAGCAGTGCTTTATTTATAAAAATACAATATGTTTAAGGAAATACATAAAAAAATTCCGTTTTTATATCCGATTTATATATATATAAATATATATACATTTGGTACATTCTTAAAAAATCAGATTTATTTCGCTCGCAATGTACTTTGAGAGGAAAATCATAAATATGGGTTTAAATAGAGGTGATGGCGTTTTTCTGCGACTTGAATACAATTATTATATTAATACATGTCATCTACATAATCATAGTTTTAACACGTAAAAACATGAAAAAAGTGCAACCCCAACTAAAACCCATGTTCATGAATTGTCCTTTATAGTACATGAACAAAATAAACCTCATCTGGAGGAAAAAAAAAAATTATTTAAAAGTCGGGACAGAAACAGGATATTTTTCGTAACTTTCCTAAAATACTTTTTTTAAATATTTTAAACTAAATATATTTTTGTTGTTGAAACTTTAAAGTATTTGAGATTCATTAATATCTGACACTTAACCAAAAACAAGTAACGTGATTTGTTGTTACTTTAAGATTTAAATCACCAAAGTAAAGTAAATAGTATACACTGTGAAAAAGTAATTTCCCTGTAATTAAATTTCATTTGTAAAATGCAGTTTCTTTGTCATAAAGTTAAATTAACTTTTAACAAAAATAGTTATAAATATTAATCAAGAAAACAACTTACACCTTTCCGGAAAGCCTAATCGTTTTGTAATTACTACACTCGAACGAAATTAAAATTCAGTGAAAACTTTCACACAATGACTAATGACATAATCATAGAAAATGCTGATAGCATGTGCAAGAAAGCTTTCTCCAAAACCATATTGCTGTCGATGAAGTGAAACATTCATTAAGGTATCCCTACTTCAATACACGGACGTGTGTATAGCCCACGTGGACATTGCTTATTTAATCAGTGGATTACAGATGCATGAAGGATCTCAATTAAATACGTTTCACTCAATCTAAAGAAAAAGAGCCATAGTAACATAATATATACCAAAATGTAATGAATTTTCCTTATAGCGGAATAAGCTGTGCTAAACGGTAATCGAGCCATTTTTATTGTGGTGAGCACTGCTTTTTTTCCTCTTAGCGCTTCAGATTTGCTTATTGTCGTTGAACCATTGGGGCTTTACTTATATATTTTCGTATTGGGTTTGTCGTAATATATACAGTTAATTACTTACAGAAAAGTAAAGACATCATCACAATGATGTTATGGTTAAATGCAATGAATCCAGCTGGAAACATTATAAGACATACTGTAACAGTTTTCTCTTTTGGAAGCAAAATAGATGGAAAATGTTGGTATTAACCAATTTCTTACAACAGCAGCGATTTTTGATTCGAGGGGCGTTTTTCTTCTGAAATTGTAATATAATCTCTTCGCAATGGTACTTCGTATAAAAAAGACCGTGTTGAGGCCTGCTCGATGGCTGAACTCAACGGTACTTACGTTTTACAATTTTCATCATCAGCAAGTTTCATAATATAATACAAGCTCTTGCAAGCAAAATTAATTTTAATATACGTCTTCCCGTTGTGTCATAATACAGTAAGTATATACCATGCTAAAAACTCGTATTTCGTGCCAATTTTATTTTTATATCAGATTCATAATGAAAGTCATTATATATCGAAATTTTAAAATATTGCTACATATTGCGAAGATGATGACTGATCTATGTGACTTTTTTCATCAAACGAGGTTTATTATATATTCACTCATAATATCTATCAAAGGCATCTAAACTTTTCAAGTTATTCTTACATACTAAAAACATGTACTTACTTGCAAATCGTGACGACACGAGACATAAATGTAATATTATTACAATGGTTTTTTACAGCACACATAATTTCGATCACATTCAAGACAATCCTGTTGTACTTAAGCCTAATACGGTTAATGTGAAAATGAATCATTGAAAATTACCAAACTCGGCCATATAATCGTGCGCAGTGCGCACTTATCAACAACCTAGTAGTCAAATTTAAAAAAAAAAGTAGTTTCGCATGTGGAATTTTTTTTTTATAAAGTTTATGGTGCCAAGTATGACATTATCAATTGAAAAAAATAAATAAACAAATACTTACGTTCTGAAAAACTGTTCTTTTTAAATATTATTCTTACGTTCCGGTTTAAAACTACTCTGAATATTCCTGTTTTTATTATTTACTATTACATCATTTTACAAACAGACAATACAATATTGGATGGCCAGTTTTGAAATGATATAAAAATAGTCCCGTTGTCACTCTTCTTTTTTATCCGTTAATATTAATAATATATTGCTTAAATCCTACAAATAGCATAGATCTCTGTATAAGTAGTTGTAAACTAAATCCGATACTATTTTTTAACAAAATAGAACCTTAACAGAGACAATCCTTTTGAAACATAAATAAGGTAAAAAAATCAACAGTTGAGTTGACATTTAATCTAACATTTGATCTAAACTCAAACTATCAAAAATTAACAAAATTGTATTTATTTATTTATTTTTTTTGTTTTATTCANTAAAAAATAAATATTTAATTTGTTTTTAATTAGTAAAATTTTTTAATATTCCACAGTAACAGTATTTAACAATACACATAGTTGAGCGAAAAAAAGATTTTAAAAAAAAGTAAATCATCCGTACGTACGTCAATCCATGCATGATTAAAATCAAACATTAATTAGATCGAGCTGTTAAGCTCAATTGAAGATTTATCTTCGGTCATTGTAATATTATCACTCATAAATGATACACTTATGAAATGAATCTATAATTTGATTTTCGTATCAATAGTGCTTTTGAAAAATGATCCTAGCCTTTTTAAAAAAATTTAATTGTTTTGGATTTAAGGTACACCCACTAAAAATCTACTAGCACACATTTTGAAAATGTTGAAAATAAAATCATTGTTAAAATTTATAAGTTTTACTAAAAAAGCTCTAGAAAAAGTATAAAAAAACTAATCTGTACAAAATGATTAAATTACAAGGATACTAACATTTAGATGAAAATCTTCAACCAGGAGGATTGAGTTATTTTATTATAATTTTAGGAATGATTATATTTTATTTTATTTACTTAAATAATAGTCAGACTGCTGTAAATGTTATTCACATGGTGATACCAAATCAAACCATTATATAATTATATGTAAATACATAAAGTACAGAAGTGATTTTCAGTAGACAAAAGTAAAAAGTATTTTTTACGCTTTAAAAACGGTTTCAAAACGTTATTCCAATCTTATTTTGTATATTCGTAAATTTTAAAAACAACGTTTCATTAATATTTTTTGCAACATTATGCAGTTCAAGGTTAAGTAATATAAACTGCTTATCTGCACAAGAATCTTTATAAATGTATCTTGAATATTGATAAAATTGGATACTCCTAATAAGATTATTTACGATTGTATAAAAAATGTACATATTAAAATAATTTCCTGTAATTCAAAATTAAATATTACAAGAATCGATAAGTTATCTCATGTACAATAAACTTCTTCAGACTACAGTACAAGTATTGTATTTCAGACAGTAATGAAAATAATTGGTTAACTTTTAATGATCATTAACTCTGTAATTTTTATGATAAAAAGTTCCTTTTTTCCTCACTTTAATTCACTCTTATGGGATAAGCATTTTGCCATTTTCTCGTGGGCTTTTTTTTGTGTGAATTCTATTTGTTTTCATAGCTATGCGATATTAGCACGTACTTTACAATCTATTGCGTGCAAAGTAATCGAATGAATGATGTTGATGTAAGCACATCCATCTCAATTGTTTGCAATAGCGACCCTACATTTTTTGCTATTTATTAACTAAATGTTAATGAAGCAAATGCTAAATTAAATATTTCGTTTGCATATGCTTTTAGTAAGAAGTAGTTTTTTTTCTCAAGCTAACATTGTATTTAATTTTTAGTGAATTTATTACGGTATTTTAAAAGCTTAAATTCAATTGCAGAATTTTTAAATCTTAGTTTATGCATAAGCCAATTAAAGAATCTTCGCGTAATTGACACGAATAATGTTTAGAGGAGTTTTAGTGACATTTATTTTTTTTCTAACTTGTATGATTATAAAGGGCTTTTATAACGCTGTTTCATTTTACATTAGAATTATTTTAATCATTTAACAATACTAATTATATTAGAGCAAAACATAGTGGATATACTAACTATTTAGAATTTTTTTAAAAGTAATAAAAGTATAAAAATACCCTTGACACGAGTTTTTATGAGGTAGAAGAGACTTACAATATTTATATAATGAGTATAATTAAAACTTGTAAAATTAGTGTTGTACTAGTACAAAACTAGTATTTTTAGTTACCATACGTTTTTTTTGGTTAATTATTTTCAAAAATATTATTTTTTATACTTGTATAACAGATCAGTGAT